TTTTTTTTTAGAAAAGGTGTGCGTTCATTTCTGTGCTTTGTGTGCCGTCATGAGTGACGAAGAAAAACAAGAGTGTACTTCTCATTAGAATTGTCAACTTCTCTTAATGTTTTTTCCCCATATTTTCCACTTTTCGTTGGTCTTGAACTACCTCTTCAGTTCGATTCTTTTCTCTTTTTTTCTGCAAAAATATGCGTTTGCTTGAGCAGCTGATCGAATACGCCCGTGTCCGCAGTGTAAACGAACTGCGAAACTCTACAAAATCGCTCAGCTGTTCGTTGTTTGCACGGCAGAAAGTGCATTTTTAGCGAACCTCGGCCTTCGAGAAGGAGAAGGAAGTGCGGAGAATTTCCATGGTGGCATGACTAATGCTGTTCCAGCAGAGAAACTGTAACCTTTGCAGTTTAGTGCTTAGAATAGTCCAATATTTCAGTGATAATTTTCTTATCTCAGCTACAGTGAAACATTTCCTGAGACCCCTTTCCCTTACCCAATCTTTCCCCGCAAAACTCGTAAGTTCCCGTGATTCGTTCAGACAACTCGTACACAAAGCTTGGTTTGGCTTCACTATGCTTCGTCAGCTAAGCTGGGCCGCGTCCTTGCAAAGACCTATGTATTTTCGTGTTTTCGCGCTCGATGCTGACAACTCGTACAATGCTCCCCGTAGAAGAGAATACGCGGGCGTTGATCACATGGGTTCAGTGTAGCCGGAGGGGCGGAGTAGGAGAGAGCAACAGAATCGCTGCAGACTTCTGAATGCCATGTTTTTGTCCACATGTCACTAGGGTGGACTGTTATGATTTTGAGGCTGTAATGAGGCTTGTGTTCTAGCAGCTGGGTTGTTTGTTCTATTCTCTTTAGCCTAAGCCCCTTTTACATTTAGCAAAATATCGCATCTTTAGAACGCTTAAAATTCTATCTCGCTCCTTGCTTTTTTTACTCTAGGGACGATTGTGAATTTATTTTTTCCCTATTGGGAATGATTCCGCGCTATTGCAAACGATGCTTTTACTCAGTGAAAACAGTGAAGTGGTAAGAAATTCTTGTTTCTGTTCAGCTTAATGGAAGTTTCTCGAATTTGGAAAAACACGATAAAATTATATATTCTCACTTACTTATCACCATCTTTTTTAAATCCCTCAATAAATGAGGAGTTTTTATAACAACTATAGAGGTAAGTGTTTATCGGCTTAGAAAATGAACTTTCAATGTGTACTTTTTTGGTATCTCACGTCCTCGCACAGAATGTTACGCTTAACAAAAACTTTAAAATGTCGTAGCTTGCCGCTTTCAGCTTTTTTATGACCTTTCTGTTCAAAAATTTCTGATGAACTTCAGTAGAAATCTATCCTGCTAATGGAAATCGTAGGAAGCAGCTTTAGCACAGAAGAATTCAATACAAGCTGTGGACTTTCTCTAAATCGAAAGGACTTTGTTAAAAATGTATCAAAAATCTTTTTATCCATTACTTTACAGTCATGAAAAAATGCGTTTTCTCTATTTGAGAATAATCTCCCATACAGGATGCGTGTACCAAACGTTTGCACAAGCTTCATTATTTTTCTTCACATTTTGCGTCACTCATGCCCTCTAGAAGACTTTCGGGAACGGGCTTGGATGTTGCACTTTAACTCTAAGTGTATATATCTCTCTCAATCTATCTCTCTCTGTATGTATGTCTTTTGTGAATATGTCCTAAAAGGTCAGTGTTTTTCGCACTTTCCTCTGCTGTGTGGCTTGCGGCTGTACTTCCGCGACTAGGAGGGGCGAGTTTGCCACGCCCCACCCTCCTCGTTTCTGCTCTTCCACATTTCTCTCTCTCTCTATCTCTCTGCTGGTCGACGTTCATGTATGACAGAAATATTTTCTCCACTTTTGTAATTCCGCATACTTTCGGTCGCATTAACTCGTCCATTCGACTACGAGTCGTCCTGTCCAGCCAATAAATCCTTGATTTTGCAGGATGAACACCAACACTTCTACTGCGTCCTCGGTTCAACCAACTCTAGACCTACAAGCTCTACTCTCAACTATGCCTGATTTCTCGTTAATGACTAGCTTACAGAACAGTATGGTAAGTTTACCATTCATTCTACTCACTTTACCCACACCTACACTCTGCCTTTTACAGAATAAAGACAGACCCAACGGAGAGAATCCTATACCCACATCGCAGAGCTTGCTATTCCCAACGATCCCGAACGATCAGCTGGCTGCGCTTTCGCTAGGTCTATTCCCTCTCTCGGGTTTCCCAATGTTTCCATTACTGCCAATGGGCCCCATGAGCAGCTCAGGGCTTCCACCACATTCCACAATCGAAAGTCTTGGCTTGATGACCAATGTAAGTTATTCTTCACCTTACTAACTTCTTACT